TTCCATTATCCTTATATAACCCAATATATACCTTAATAAACCCCATATTCTATCTACTTAAGGGGGACTTTATATTCAAGTTCTTCAACAGCAGGGGGACTCTCAACCCAAAACCCTAAACCCTAAATCCTAAACCCTAAACCCTAAATCCTAGGGTAATCTATATTCAAGTTCTTTAACAGCAGCCCAGAATCGGCACATCGAGCCTCACAGGTGCCGCCTGCAGGGACCCGACGGCAATCCTCCGGATGGCTCAAGTACCTGGGCTGTTGGGGGTTCAGGACCTTGGGGCTACATGTATATATATATAGATAGATATATAGATATGTATATGTATATATATATATGTGTGTGTATATGTATATATATATATATATGTATATGTATATCTATATATATATATGTATATGTATATCTATATATACGTATATATACATGTATGATCACACCCTGTTAAGGGTGCTACTACCAATGTTCATACTAATGCTGAGGATCTGTCCCTTTCCCATCGCCCCATTACTCAAGCAGCTTTTCGGCCCAAAGGTAGTTCTTGGGGAGGGGGGGGGTGAGCATATATATATATATGTTTATATGCACACACGTATCAAGATAGTATAATATCTGTATATAGGCGCATCACAGGGTTGTGTAGGGGCTTCGTTTGGTTTATGGCCCTGGTTTTGGGTGGTTGGTGCTTTGAGTCTGGGGGTTTGGTTGGCGTCTCTGGGTCTGTGGCCTTGGGGGCTGCTCCCAACCCTAAACCCCTAGACCCACAGTCCTAAGCCCCTAAACCCTAAACCCCTAACCCTAAATCCTCAATCCTAAACCCTAAACCCCTAACCCTAAACCCTAAATCCTAAACCCTAAACTCTAACCCTAAACCTCTTTTTGTTGGGAATTAGATGGCTTTCTGTTCCTGAGAACTGCGCCTCGTTTTTTTGGTCATTTGAGCTGTAGTCTAAACTCTCCGAAAGGGGGCTATATAGAAGATTATATAGAGGACTATTATAGGGGTTAATATAACTAGGAGTTTAGACTGTGGCTCATTTGAACTATCAATGGTGCTAAATGGGATAATTTTGTTGGCTGCCTTTTGAAATCGCCAAGCTCTATATAAACGCCAGAAGTCTCCTGCGTTTAGGGACAGTAACTAGGAATTCATGGCCATGGCCTCAGCCAGGGCGGCCTGTGCAACCCGCAGGTGATTTGAAGCATGCGGCAGCCGGAATCGCACTGCTCCCGCCACCGTCCCATGTCATTACCTAAGCATGATCCTCGAAACCACCGTCATTGTTGCCTGGCTCGGTGGCGCTCGCAGGGGTATCCTGACAAGTTCGCTCGAAGCCCTGTTCTCGCAAGTCCCGGTGCGCCCGAATGCAACCCTTGTAGCTGGCGTTGCTTTTGGACCCTCAGGTTCTCTTGAGGTCTCCCTTGAGGTGCGAGGGCTTATGCAACACAACAGTCCGTAACACATGAAAGTTGTTGGACGTTCTCAAAGTTGATGCCCGGGTGCATAGGGCGTGGAGGTGCACAGCTGTATATCGGCGTGCAGCCGCTGAGAGTAATCTGGACCTGAGCTTGACGAGTCCCTAAGCTTGGAAAAATTTGGAGCTAGGGTCCAAGGTCGTAAACCTCAAGATGTACGTTGCATGACATCAAACAACTGCACAACCACAAGAAGACAACTTTCCAAACCCTGAACCTTAAACCTAAAACCTTGAAATACAAGAATGCTGCACCAGGAGTGCCCATTCATGCTTAAGGAGGACTGGGGGAGTGAATTTAAGTACCATGATTGGGGTATATGCATGGGGATTATATAAGGATTATTATAGGGATCTAGGGATATAGGGATTATTATAGGCATATAAGTAGCATTATTGGGGTATATGTATGACAAATGAGGATTATATCGGGGTTATTATAGGATCCACTCCCCCACTCTCCCTT